AACTACATATATATATATATATATATATATATACACCATCAATTTTCATGAAAAATGATTGTTATGGTATGAAGCAGATTAAGTGAATTGTAATCAGTTCTATTTAAGTCATTTAGAAACATTTACATTAAATACATAGGTTATAACAGTATTTTGCATATTAGGTTTCTGTTTACTTCAAAAGTTATATAAGTTTCATTTTATAAAAGCCTTTTTTTAATTTGAGACTACCACCAATTTAACTTGCTGACAATGACTGAGCCAGCAAGTAGCCTATCATATTTCCCCAAGAGAATGAATGTGCATATAAATGTAACGAGTTAATTGTTATCCATGCTTCATTCATAAAGACAGATGTTATTGACACTTCAAGACTTTGTTTAGAGTAATAATTATGATATTTATTTCATCTGTACATATGAGCAAAAATCAGTTATAGTCATCAATATCATCATTACAATGATTACAAAACTCACTTTTAGAAATGCACAAGTTTATCTTGCACATGAACTTGTATGAAATATTTAAAAACATATTTGTAAATAATTCGAGGAAACTTTTGCTATAGTTCAAAAATATAAATGTAGGATTAAGGAAAGCTTGACTTTAATGTAGGTTTCGAACTTCTAATTATACAATACAGTGCCTGTTAATAAACTTTTAGTTATCACAATCTAACAAAGTTATATGTCAAACTGGTTTTAAACTCAGTTTTTAGATGCTTTGTTATGTGATTTATGTGTGTATTCAACCTTTAATTCAGGTTTACTTATGTAATGGAAAATTATTTCGAGAGATTTGTTTTGAGATTACAATTTCTCCTGCATACATGCTGAAAACAAAGTGATAGGGCCTAACTATTTTAGGTTATTATTAGCTCACAAAGGTAATAAAAACCAAAGAAAGACAAGATGAGGGACAAGTCACTTTGATGAATTAATAACATTGTTTGACAGTGTAAACTAATGAATATAATAAAACCCTTTTATAACATACAAGAAAATAAACTAGTGGCTCTGTTTTCCATTAAATTTTTAATAGTTTTTACTTGTTTTATCTAAACCAAACTCACCAAAATTGTATGAAATGAATGCTGTTGAATGTAATTGAACATTGATAAACAAAGGCAGCCAAGATCAGTGTTGGGTAATGAAACACACAATGTTCACTATTTCATAATATACTTAATGGATTAATTGAACTTTTATGTATTCAAAATAACAAGTTTCTGAGTGTTGTATTGTGATAAGAATGATAGGATACAGCTACTTAACCAGCAGTATAAAAAAAAAAGAGTAATAAAAACATTCCCACAGCCAACTATATCTAAGTTGAGATCGTATGTAACAAAATGTTTACATAAAAGTGTGTGGGTGAAATCAAAATAATCTGCTTCACAATTTATGATAATTCTATTTTCATATCTTGCAAACTAATACAGTATGTGTATGTAACTCAATATCAATTTAACCACAATGTATTAATTCATATAAACTTCAGTAATACAAAAATAAAAAAATGGCAATTATGGAAAAGAAATTAAAAAAACAACTTTGGCTAACAAACTTGAAGTGTAACTTCTTAAAATGAAGAAAACATTCACGATAACATTTTAATCAATAGAATCTTCCTCTCTCAATCTTTTCTTCTCATTTTCTGGCAAATCTGTGGTTGAATGAGAAGTACTCGACAAAATTACTGCTGAACTTGAGGTTACTCTTGGTGTGCTTGTCTTTTCTGGCACAAGTGGACTTCTGCTGATAATAGGTCCTGAAGAGAAAAACGTTTTGTAACATCATGTAACTGCTTCAGACAATGAAACAAAACTGAATTTAAACAGTAAGTTTTTACCCCCCACACAAACACATTTTGAATTTATATCTAATACTACCAAGTACATTAAAGTTAACATTTTCATTTTCCTTACCTGCAATGTATTTCAGACAGATATTTCTCAACTGAACAAGCAACTAGCACCTCGGTGCTACTATGAAACTATATTTGTACATTAACCAAGCCATTGTAAGAGCTCTCACTCAGCAATATGAATTGCATTAATCTATGAAAATGACACATCCTCCTTTATAAGTACTATCCTTAAGAACTTTGTGTAAACCAAAAGCTCAGTTCTGATAAGGCAAAAAGACACACACTGGAAATGGGTGTGAAGAGATAAGTAACTGTTTGAAATACATTTTCAGGCAAAGAATGTGTTAACTCCAGACTACCTCTTTACAGAATAAGTAGCTAAAATCGCACACTGAGAAAATGGTGGAGGGACTAGTTTAGATAAAGAAATTAAAAAGGTGAGCTCCTTTCTAAGACTACAGTGATAGAAAGTGAAAACTCATGGAGTGTGTCTCCCACTAGGGAGTAGGGTATCTAAACGGAGTAACATTCACTGAAAGACTACATCCATCTCAAGTACAAGAGGTTGTTCAGAATAGATCTGTCAAAAAAAACTTTCTGCTTGTTGAAAGGGTGGATAGAATGTGACAACTGCTCAACAAACTTACATATCTCATGCAGTCAGTAAACCATATAAGTTGAGTATCGGCAATAAGTCAAGCTGTACAGTATGGGAGGAATACTTGTGTGAAATAATTACAAGAATATGTAGGTTAAAGGAAGAATCATCCCAGACCTGCATCCAGAGAGAGCTTAAAACCCATCCAGCTGGCTACAACCAATGGGTATGGTCCAGTTATTAGTGTCGAGAGTGGCTTGTACTAATCTTCCAGGTTGACACCCTGCCCTACTTTGAATCAAGGGGTGCCTCTCATACCAGTTGGATCACCACGACCTGAATTAAATCCCCACTCCTTCCACATATTTTATTTTAATGTTGTATAAGTAGGCACAGATCTGAGGGAGGTTCCAAACTGCCCCATTTTATTTAATTAATTAAACAAACAGCCATATTGAGTCAAAAAGAAACATCAGAGTTTTTATTTGATTGCTCTATTAATTATTGTAAAAGTTTTTTTTTGAAGTTAACATAGCTGGAGCCTACAAAGAAAATGTTATTATAAGTTTAATGCAGTAACAAATGTACAATGTTTGAAGAAAGTGTTTTCATCATCAAGATTAAGTAGCTTAACTAGACACAGGAATATACATAAAGTATGAAGCAAAGAAGTCACATGACTGGAGATTTCCTACAGCTTAATAAAAGGTATCTTATTGACATTTGATTTTTTTAATTAAAATTATGTTTTTTTTCTTACTTTTTAACCCTTTGATTGCAGCTGCTTTAAACCTGCATGGAATTTTCTGCAAGATGTACACTGTATACAGCACACTTCATTGAAGGGAGGGCAAGTGGAACATTAGATAAAGCACTTTACAAAGAAGTGAAAAAGAAGGACAGGCATACAGAAAGAGGATCAATCCTAACTCAAAGCTTTTACTCCTAAGGCCACAGAGTTTGGAACTGGTGATCAAAAGAGTAGAAGCTTGGCATCAATAAGAGAATTCTAAAGTTGGAACAACTCCACTAAAACACCAAAGGATGTAAGGACCACTCTGTGCAAAAGATAGTTCCCTGAGGTAAGACCCAAAAAGGCATCCCCAAAACAACTATAACTTGGAGACTACTGAGGGAGAAGTCAAGGCAGCATGATGAAAAAGTAGTTGTGGCCTTCTCCAGTAAAGCTGGGTGAGACAAGTGGGGCTACCTGATCCTCCTCAGGAATTGAGGAACCAGAAACAAAGGCAGGCTGCAAGAAGAACTGCTCAAAATTGTTCTAATAAATGGCAGACTCGACAGAAGCATAGGTCCGAGGGAAATAATGTGTGTGATTAGGACAACCACTTGTATAATTGTGGTAAAACTCGCTCTCTGTCACAATACCTCCAGTTTCCACTGAAATAGGATAAGACAACTCCTGTTGAGGCATTTCTGGACTTTGGTAGGCATCAGAAACATGTATTCTTATTCAATGCAATCTAAGAAACTTAACTGAACAAATTTGTTTCTTTTTTTTTCTCTTTTTTGTTTGTTAGTTTTGACTATATCCTATCTCAGGGTTAACTCTTTCAGCATAGGCCTCGTAACCATTTTGTGCTTGTTATAGTTTTCATGCTATACCTTTTAAATTAGTAGGCGAATGTTAACGAAATTTGGCAGATTATTGGTTAACATTACAATGCTTTCATATGCAAAATATCAAATTTTTTTTATTAAGTCTTAAGGTTTATAAAGCAATGTTTTTCTTATGTAAGGAAATAAAAGTAATATAAGAAAGATAACAATTCTTATTAGAAGCTTTAACTGAGATTATTTGCAATTTAAAAGCAAGGCACAGTCCAAAAAAATCCTTTGTTTGATAAAATATTTAAGAAAATAACACATCTAAACAGTGTATTTCCAAGGAAATTTATTAGCTTTAGGTTTACACAAAGTACCCATGGAGAGTGCTGCACATGGCAAATGTATTGCCCTCCTATTGGTAGAGGAGTATAGCCTAATAATGACCGCATCATGGACTCGCTCAGTTCATGTTAATGCATGCAAGAGTGAAAGCTCTTACAATGGCTTACTGCATCTGCATTAACATTTTAGCAGTAGCACTAAGGCAATAACTACTTGTTAGTTAGAGTGATGTAGTCTTCAAGTAACTTTTTAAGTAACACAGCTGCATGTATTTCTATTATCTCAAACTTTGTCCACACACATACAATTGTTGTTTTGATATTGTCACATACACTTTTGTATATGGAATTCAGTAAAAAATATATAATGCACATTTTTATATAAGAATATTTAAACAAACAATATTATTTGCTATAATGGTTTTACGAAATTGAAAAGGAACAATTTCAAACAAAGTTATTTTACTCTGGTTTTAAACTATTAAGACAGATATAATCTGATTAATATCAGATATACTCTGCTTTGCTTTCACTCAAGTTATTCAAACTTGTAAAACATTAGTTTCTTATAAATAAGAAAAACATAGTTTTAATTGTAATGTTCAAAATACTACATCTAACTAATAAGATTTTCCTTTGCATAAATATACACACACACCTATCAACCTTCTATTTTACTATACTTTATACTGTGGTATGTCACACCTTACCTTGAGAAATTTTAAAAACTGGAGTTGGTGTCACTTTACTTTTTGTTTGTGTAGGAGTCGTTTCTGTTCTTGATACTAAAGTGACCAATGGAGAACCTACAGTTTTAGTGGCTACAGATATCACAGTTCCAGACTTGCTGGCTAAGGAAATGGCTGGCACAACCCTTGAAATTGAAGGTCTAGATAAAACTGCAAAAAAGTAAAAAACACACTCAAGATACCATAATACATTAAATAACCTAGGTTTGAGTTAGTTATATCTAGCTGATTAATATAACAACTGACCATATTGAATAAGCTCCAAGAGCCACAACTTCCAAGCTTCAACATTCAACATGGCCCAAGAGGGCCAGTTATTTTTCTGAAATAGTAGTACACAATACACTGCACTGTTTTATTAACAAAGTAAACTGAACCAGTGTCCTAAAGGATAAAGGGGAAAAGAAATGCACTTTTCCATTTTAATAAAATGATCCAAACTCTCCCCCACTGCATATCATGTTTATACAATCAGAATCTGGTACTTTTGCTATTATGCAATGATACAATGCTACTAAGGCTCCTTCCTTCAATATGGCTAATCTTATGAACTTTGGATTTTCTGCATCTAAGCAACAAACATGAACAACAAGCCATCAATAAAATACTGCAACACATAAAACATACCAAGACAGAAACAGAGTACAACAATTTAGAGTGGAGTCAAGAAAGATTTTAACTGGCTTGATTATGACAGTGAAAAAATGCCATGTTTGTCATCAGCTTCCCAAGGAAAAGTTCGGCATGAATTTAACTACTGTAAAAGTGATAGGCCTAACGTTTAATATGTTAGAGTAAGACTAACAGTAGAAAAGGAGATAAGAATAATAATTTATTCTGTCAAATCATGGTTCTAAAGTAACTGAATCAGCCTGAGTGCACTTTGACAAATAAAAGACCAAATGATTACTGGAAGAGTAGTATACGACTGTGGTAACTCGTGCCACAATTGTAAGTGAATTATACAGTGCACAGAATATTAATGCATCAGTAATAGAGAAGATAATTCGGCTTATCAACTGAAATTCTAAAGTAACTGAATAGGCCTAAGTGGACTTTTGACAAGGAGAACTATATATGTATATGTATATATACAGTGTTTATGATATGCCTATAGTCTCTATAGTATGAAGAATTTGTTGCACACACACATTTAACTTGTTCC